TAATCACACACATGGTACATTTTTAGGTGCAATCTCATCCCCATTTTGTCTATGAATTGGCTGTTTAATTATCACTGTAGAAAGAATACTTCAACTTTGTCAACCCTGCTTGTTTTTAAGCTCTTCAGACAGTTATTGTCCCTTTCTGTAACATCTCTGAAAGAAATTCAGGAAGCAGGAAAACATATCTGCTTCCATTTCCTACACAGGATATGGAAATATAGAGGTTAAGGAACTTGCCCATGGCTGTGGAGGGAGGTTGTCAGAGCCACAAATTAAAAACAGATTCTCTGAATCCATGCTCAGGGCCATGGTCATCAGACCATTCTCTTCCATAAATTCAAGCCTGTCATTAGTCTGCTCTGTTGAAATCTGTCTGTGCAGAGAAAGAAATATAAATATTTTTAGCAGTAGGTATTAATTTGTAGCACTAGTCGAGTTTGTGCCACTGAAAACTGAATTGGTTCTTTATTACATTTTGCCCCGTATCCCCAAATATTTTGATCTTTGGATATAACCACCAACTATGCTGAAAATTCCCTTCAGCTAAGATCATTCCCTTTCTATTCATCTGAACAGAGTTTGAAGGGAGATGTGTGATCCGTGGAAGCTTTAATGGTGGGTCTGGAGGTAGTGAAGTCTGTATGGAAATTACCTGGGGCTGATTTCCATAACTTTTTCCAAAATGTCTGGGGTTTAAAGACTGGGGAAGACCTTTCCCATTTATTCGAGCAGCCACACAGGTTGTGAATTAGCATTTTCTCTCTTCTGTCTCTTGATTCAACTTTTTCTTAATTTAACTTTTCTGCAGCAAATAATGCAGCACCTGCTCACAGGTGAGAAGCCCTTGGTTCTGAAGAACAATGATGAGATGCTCTCATATGAAGAGCATCCCTCGCCACCAGAGGCAGGCAGGATCCAGGTCATTGAGATGGGAAGGCTGCTGCAGCTCTGTCCTGGCTGTCTTTCAAAGGCATCACTGACACACAAGGGAACAAAGCATACTTTTTTAAGCTGACAGTGAATAGAGGAGGCTGAAGAGTTCAAAGCACTGAAGTTGAAGGATGGTGTCTCAGCGAAGGGCCAAAACTATCTTCAACTTCAAGCTTAATCTTCTATTAGGCAAAGAAAATACAGCACAAATTGTGCTTATGTAGCACCTCTCATGCAAACATCCCAGCACACTTAACAATCAAATTCAAACACAATCAATCATGGAGATGTGAGCAGTGTTCACCAAGGAAAACAGAGCAAGCAAGGCTTGGAAAGAACGAGTGGCACAGCCACTGAAAGCACATGGCTTCCCAATGGTTTGCATTTGTGTGTGCACAAAGTGGTGTGGGGATGGTGGCAGGTGTTACTGTGTTGTAGATATTGCACTGAGACAGGAGGGCAAGCTGGAAAGAGAGGTTTCCCAGGTCCAAATGAGGGATCACTAGTGGGGTAATTCAGACCCATCAAGTGTGTGAGCACTGGCACTCTTAATGGGTCTGAGTTACCCCACTTAGCAATCCCTCATTTGCTCTGAGGGGCACCTGCTGCCCTCATCTCCTCCAGACTCCAAGTGAGGAGGACCTGCAGATCCTACCCACGTGCTGCTGCATCCATGGTGAAGAGACACAGCCATGTGCACGGGTGAGTTGTTGTGGTGAGCACCAGCATGATCCCTGGTCCAGATGCCCGCTGAGTGCTTCTTGGAGCACAACCTCCCTGAATTACATTAGCCAAATCAACCTTATCATATTTTTTTTTTTTTTTTTTTGAGGCATAACTTTTTTTTCCTTCTCCTCTAGGCAACTTTTTAATTGTTGCTAAAGAGTTGCTGCCATAGAAAGATGCCTAGAGCTCCTATTTATCAAATTCAAGAGACTTAAACTGATTGAGTTGTTGTTGAGAAGTTTGTTCAAACTTTTTGGTATTTCTCCACATCAAATTGCCGAACCTTTAAGAGTTTATTCCTCAGTTGAACAGCTCAGTTGGAGCCACTATGACACTTGTGACAGCTGAAGCTGCCATTGGGCTTTATCAAATGGCTGGAAGACTAAACCCCATTAACTTGCTCCGTGGTTGGCTTGAAGGCGTAATTAACTTTTCAGTAACAATCTTGCCTTCTTGTAACATGCAAACCCAATGTGAGAAAGAAATGCTTGTGAATGGGGCCTCATGCACGTGTCTGTGAGGCTGTAATACTACTGTGGCTTATTGAGATCCATTTACTCAGCATCTAGGTGACAGCAGATTGCAATGCTATAGCAAGAGTCTGAGGAAAATGTCACTGACTTGCAAGAAGGTCTGAATTTCTCCACATCTTATTTTAAATGCCTGAATTAGGCATATATGTGCCTTAGGCTCCTGGCAAGAGCTGCTATAGGTTACAATCTCTTTTCACTGACTGCTTACTGAGATTAGGGTGTGTTTCCAGATGAGAGTTCTCAACTCTGCAGAAGGTACCCATGCTGTAGTCTTGCATCAGCAAGCCAGATTTCCTTGCAGTCAAGTGAAATAGATGATTAACAGAATTGCTGGAATTAGATAAATTTTTTAAGTAATAAATTGTTTAAACTGGTAAGAGAACAGTTTTGTGTTCTTGCTCCGATGAATACTGAAACACTGGATAAATCATGGAACTTTATGACCAGGAGAGATTCCTTCCCAGAGTTTCCACACCTCAGGAGTGAAGGTGTTCTTCCAAGGCATTTTGAAATTCACTTCAAACCTCTGCTCAGGTCGCTGTGATGTCTCTGTTGCATGTCCAAGTAAGCCCTAAGCTTTGGGTGACTGGGCATGCAGGGACAACCACTCTAAAGCAAAATGTAATTTTTCAGTGAAAAAGAAATTGTTTGGAGCCTTGGTTCAAAACAAACTTCTTGTTCAACTAGAACATAACAACAACAATAACAAAAAAACCCACCATTTAATTTTCATTGAATGGGCTGGAGGATTTCAGCTTGAGCCTGGCGCTTGGTAAGGAAAAAGGTATGAAGGAAGAGAAGTTAAGCCAGATCTGCTGTACCTAAACAACTCCATTTAGTATTGTTTATACCTGACACAAATTGACCTGTTGTCTGTGAGGACTCTTTGGGAACCTTCTACAACCCCTCTAGAATAAATCCTCTTCCCCAGTTCTGTGTAAAAGCATTTTGTACAGTTTTAAAATGCCGAAATCCTACTTCTCTGTGTTTTTAATAAGGGAGCTACAAATCGGCTGCTCAAAAGGACTGTTGGCCTTGGCTGGTGCATGTGGCAGCAAATACATGGCATGAAACTAGAGATTCACTCTAAATCTGCAGGACACCTGGAACCCAGTTGAGCTTTGCTCACTGTGTTTGCTGGAATACATGATTTATAGAGATAATCCTCAGACATTTCAAGCTGAGCCGAAGACAGACAAATTTCCAGCCCATGCCATCAATTCCCTTCATCTGGAACAGGTGCCAAGCTTACAAAATCTTCCTGCAATGTGGTAGACACCACGGTATGCTTCATTAGCAACCAACCAAGCAACTTGCCATCTCTAGCTCACAGGCATTGAAAACAATCTGGAGATCAGAGACTCAAACCTGGGAAGCAAAGAAGGAAAAGTTTCAAAGGCAGCTGGACTCCCCCAGGAGGGGATTTAGGCAGACAATGCTGGACTCTGTAAAACCTGCTCTCAGACCCTGTTATACTCACTCATTTGAGTGAACGCAGCTGCCTGTCGTCTCTAATTCAGGGTTACAATGCTGTGGTAGAAGTGCTAGGCATGGTCACGGCAGTCCTATTAAAAACAACATATAATAAATCGCCAAATGCCATTTACCCTGGACAACCCTCTTAGCTGAAACTATCTGTACCCACTAAAGTTGCTTGTGCACCAGTTGACTTTGATGTATCCTTTTGCTCTTTCAGCCCAGATGTTGTCATAGATTTGCTGATGATGAGTGCAAAAAAAAAAAACCAAACAAACAAAACACAGAACTTTCAAATGCTCCCTGGCAAGAAAAACTTTCCAATCCTGTCTCACATGGGGTCTGGTTTCCCCCCAGAACATTTTTATTACTGAGACCATTCAGATGAATAAAAGGGCCTTGTTCATTTAGCAATTTCTCTGCTGATTTTTTATTTTTCGTATTTGAAGTTGAAATGACAGCAGCAGCAGCAGTTCAGTAGACAAAGTAAGTCTCAGACGCTGTAATGACAGCAGAACTGCCTGGGCACCACAGCTCTCAGCTGCAAACGTGGGTGGCACAGAAGTGAGAGCTCCAGGAATACCCTCTGTGTCTGCTTTAGGGCCCAGAAAAAGGTTCAGAAGTGGAGCAGTGAGGGCAGCCCACCTCCTGCACGCGGCTGTGAGGCTCTGCACGGCTGCTGAGCTCAGTGCTGTGCTCAGCTGCGGGCCCCTCGCTGCCACGCAGACATCGCGGCCTGCAGCGTGTCCAGAGAGGGGCAGCGGGGCTGCGAGGGGTCTGAGCACAGTGGGGACTTATGGGGAGCAGCTGGGGGAGCTGGGATGGTTCAGTCTGGAGAAGAGGAGGCTCAGGGGAGACCTTATTGCTGTCTGCAGCTCCCTGAAGGAGGCTGTGTGAGGGGGGGTCGGCCTCTGTTCCCCAGTAACTGTGATAGAAGGAGAGGTGATGGCTTTAAATTGTGCAAGGAGAGGTTGGAAATAAGGAAGAATTTATTCTCAGAAAGAGAGGCGATGCAGTGGCACAGAGCGCGCAGGGAGGTGGTGGAGTCACTGTTCCTGGAGGCGTCGAATAACGGCACCGAGGGCCGTGGTTCGCTCAGCGCGGCTCCCCCGCTGCGCCCCGCGACCTGCGAGCTCCCTTCTGATCTCAGTGACTCCGCGCTCCCGCTCCTTTATAGCGGCGCTCCGGCAGGGGGCGCCGCATGCACTCATCCACCCCGCGCATGCGCACAGTCGCTGTTTCCCGCTCCCTCAGGCTCAGGGCCCGGCGGGCGCCGCGCGGGGGCGCTCGTGCGGTGGGCGGGGCTCCGCGTGACGCGTACGGTGGCCGGGAGGAGCCGGGAGGAGCGGCGGGACGGGAGGAGCGGCGGCCGCGATGGAGCGCTTGGAGCGGTGCGCCCGCTGCCTGCGGGCCCGGCTGGTGAGCGCGGCCGCGCGCCGCCGGCTGCCTTGGTTGCTGCTCGGCCTCGTCTTCCTCGGGTCCGCCCTGAAGGACGGCGACCTGGTGCCGGAGACGCCCATGCAGAACAAACGCAACGTGCTGAACGTGTGAGCGGGTCCGGGCCGTGCGGTCAGCCGCTGTCCTGGGCGGGGGAGCCCGGCTCCGCGCTCGTGGGTGCGCTGGGCGGGTGGGGCAGCGCGTAACCTGGCTCCGTCGGGATTTGGGCGAACTGGCGGTTATTGGGGTGGTCCAGAAGGAAGGAGGAGACGGGACGTGGTGGGGCTTCCTGTAAAGCAGCGCGGTGCCGCTGCGTGCTGTGTCACGCTGTGGCTGTTCGCAGCTCCGAGTGCCCAGCGGGCACAGCAGCACGGAGCTGCCGGCTGCTCCTCCGCCGCTTTGCCCTGCTTTGGTTTGAATTTGTCGCTCGGTGACGTGAGGCAGCCTCTGGGTGTGATTGGAAAGAACAATTGGAGGAACGCGGATGGAGCGGAATAGATGGTGAGGTACAGCACGCTGCGGTGTCATTTGCCTTTATATTGGGGACGTTTGTCAGCGCTGATGGGTTCTGAAGCAGTTTCCCCTCAGACGTCTTGCTGCTGGTTTGCTGACAGCAGCCCTGTTAGCAACCTTTTTGGCTTTTGAGTTTCTCAGCCAAACAAGAACTTTATTTTCTGTTGCTGTTCCGTGCTGGCAGCTGTAATTGCTGCTGCCTTTTCTCTTGTAAATTGAGGATGGCACTCCCCAGAGCTCTGAGCGAGGCCACGGTGGCTTTTGTTGGGAGTCTAATGAAAATGCAGGGCTTTGTTAGTGCTTGTTCTTGCCTTAGATGCAGAGATAGTAAGTGAAAACTGTGTCTGAAACTTGGGCACAGACTGAGTTTATCCTTCAAGAAATAAGAAGGGTAAGGAGGGGGGGCTGCACAGTTCCTCTTTGCCTTCAGTTGGTAGGAAGCAGGCTGCGTTGGAAGGTGCTGGTGGGAGGCAGAAGGTTGGAGGCTTTGGTCTCTTTGCTCATTTGTATCTGCTGTGTTGTAAGATCTGAAAAGATTTCTCTTAGTTGGGCAATACTGGCAGAACTAATTAGGCAATGTCTTGGTAAATAGGGTAGCTGCACATCGTCGGCTTGTTTCCAACATTTTATAGATGTCATAACAAAAATTGTCAAGGCAGAGAGCGCGCTTTGAGGCGTGGGAATTTGTGTAAGCCAAAGGAGGGCTGAAGAGACAGTGAAGGAGTGGATGATACTATGAAGTTATGCTACTTCATTGATTTTATGAGGCGATAATGGAGGAAAAGAGTCTTAAGCTGATTAAAGTGTCATCCTTTTTCTGGGGTATCTTACTTAGTATGAAGAGGGTAAGGTTGTGAAAGGTTGTAAAGCAACCTTTATTTGAGATGGAGGAGGAGGGGAAGACCAAGGGTCAGGGTGGCAAGCCGAGAATATTTTATTTGCAGCTGCTCTTTGAGTAAGGCAAAGTTGAGTGGGTTTGTAGGGTAAAGGCAATTGCAAGAACTGTACTGTGAGTCAGCTGAGAGTCTGAATAAGTCTGAGGGAATGCTGCTTGGCAAACAGTTGAAGTGCTTAGTGAAGGAATTATTCAGGTTGGAGACCCAAGAGAAACAATGGGAAGAGGGTTAAGATTTTAGCTATGCTTGACTTTGAGGGCAGGAATCATAGGCCTAATTTAGGCAGCTCTCAGTAGTGACCTTGAAAGGCTGCTGGTTCAAGCACTGCCACACGCCCCCAGCTCCCTCCTCCAGGCTCCTATGAAATTTCACATGTACATGTTTCTCTCTTGGCTTTTCTCTGGCAGATATTTTGTCAAGGTGGCTTGGGCATGGACGTTCTGGCTTCTGCTGCCTTTCATCGGAGTCACCACCTACCTGTTTGCCAAGAGCAAGTTCCTCTACGGCCCCACAAAGAGCATTCTGACAGCTCTGCGGCGTCTCAGCACGCTGCTGGTGGGCACTGCTGTCTGGTATGTCTGCACTGAACTCTTCGTGTATATCGAGAATCTCACCGGCACGTGCTCTACCTCGACTAAACTCAGTGAGCCTCACCAGCTCTATGCCACCAAGCAGGAGTGCCATCAGAACAACGGGATCTGGGATGGTTTTGATATCTCGGGGCACTGCTTTCTGCTCTCATATTGTACTCTCATGATTGTGGAGGAAATGGCTGTGCTGGAAGGCTTGTCCATAGACCGGAACTCAAGACTGCGTGTTTTTATCAACGGCCTGTTTGTGTCCTTGTGTTTTCTCACCATGATCTGGGTGTTCATGTTTCTATGCACTACCGTGTATTTCCACGATTTCATTCAAAAGCTTCTTGGTGCACTGATAGGTTTGGCAGCTTGGTATGCGACGTACAGAGTTTGGTACTTGAAACCTTTTTCTCCTGGACTACCTCTCCCAAATACACCTTTGAGTTCAAAGAAATACAGTTATAGCCGATAATTTTTTTTAATTTTGGATTTTTCTGTCAGTGCCAGAGTAGTTCAGGATAGGCATGGTTACAGGCTTTCCACTGTAAGGAACAAGGTAATGGGCTGGAGAAAACAGCCTTTACCTGATGGCTGGGAGGTGATAATGAACTTTGTTCTCATGAGAAAAAAAAATTAGTACTGGAAAAGGTCTGCTTTCGGCTAGGAGTTACTGGCAAAGAAATACAAAGTTGGATTTGTTTCTTGTATTAATAAATAGAAGAACAGATCTTCCAAAACTGACAGAGGCCTTTGCACTTTAAGACCTTAACTGACCTTAAGTTAATTCTCCCTCTTTCTATCTATTTTTATCAGAATACCAGGGATGATACAAATGTCTTTTTTTTTTAATACTCCTACTTGTTCTTTCTTAGAGTAAGTCTCTCCTAATGACTGCTGCTAACTATTGCAGAAGAGTTTAGCCATCAGTGTTCATTTGGTAAAGCAGTATGAAGCTCAATTGCAAAATGCTAACATCTCCTGTTATCAGGTATTAAATACACCTAACAAGGGCTTGTGGCAAGTTGGTGTATGCGTGTTCTGCAGCAAAGAGAATGAATCTGAGATATAATAGCTTAAGCAGTCTGTGACTTGAAATTGATACCTGTCTTTGGAAAGGGAACTCTTCAGTAACAAGTCTTATCTTTCTCCTTGCATGAAGTAGCTGTAATCATGTTTTGTAACTCTATTCTAGACAGAAAAAAATCCCAAGTCTATTGAGAGAGTTGGGTGTTTATTTTTATTTTTTAATCTTACACATTTAGCACCATAAAACTATGAGTACTTTCTGGTATGTTTCTTCCAGAACAGTGAAATTCCGGCGTTATGAACATGTTAGCTTAACTTGCTCAGTAGCCTGCTTGGTGTTGAATGAAACTTACTGTTTATCCTAAGAGCTGCAAAGCAGTTTGCTTGAAGCATAATTTGTTTTGTTTATCAATGAATGTCAATAAGCTACTTAATTTTGATTGCACACATAGTTGTGGCTGCTTCTGATGCATCTGGAAACCCACTACTGAATATAACACTAATATAATTCATTGTATAATGAATAGGTATGAAATTGGATGGGTTTACTCACTGTATCAAACATTTAGCATAGTTTTTATCTTGCAAAGCTTTTTATTAGCTTTTATAAAGGTTTGCTCAAGTTGCAGTTGCATAAAACTTGTGTGATGGTTGCAGTGTTGAAAGAGACATTAGAAGAGGTTTGTAGGCACAGCTGTAGTGTGAAGGGGACAATCTGTCTGCAGCATTTGGCTCCGAGTTGATTGTTTTGTTGACCAGAATATGATGCAGCATAGTCAAACTTGGAACATTTTTGTTGTGGGTTTGTTGTTTGTTTTTTTTTACCATCTCTACAATTCTTTTTCAGCAAATGAGTGGAAGTATTTGCAGTAGTTATAGCGACGTTAATTCCATGTTTGTGGCTTGCCTCTGAGGAAAGCTGAATTCCTTTGACTTCCCACTCTGTTCAGTGCCAAACCTGAGTTGTTTTGCAGCCTCAGGAAGTACAGATCACCGTGCAGAAAAGCTTTTTCAGGAGTTCAAGTATTTTCTATAAGTTCCTCCTTTTGTCTTTGCAGTAAATTGCCTTTAAGCTGACTCTTTAGGAAATTTGCACTGATCAACTCATACTGGGTTTAACTAAAATATATATTTGAACAATGCAGATTCATTTGCAGTCCTTCTTTTGATGTACTGTAAGCCTGCTCCCTCTTGAGTTAAGCTAGGCTGCAAGCCACTTTCATCGTGAAAAAGGATTATATACCCAGAAGGTTTTCTGATTCATTTCATTAGATTTAAGTTTCTATTTTAGGTTATCTTTATGTAACTTTGCTACATAGACTAGGCCTGCTACCAGAAAATGCAGTTTATTTAAACCAACAGGCTTGCTGATGTTATCTTCAGTTCCACAGATGTTTTGTGCAATCACTGCATCAATGTTTCTCTGTGCTTCAGATTAGTGTCATACAAACTGTTTGTTATGGAAATATGTGGGCCATGACTATTCTCAAACTGTATTTAAATAATGATAGAAAAACAGATAAAATTCCAGTGTTTGTGTCTTTGTGGGTGTTTCTGGAGTCTGTAAAGGTACTTCTGTTTTTCTTCATTTCCCTGAATGATCCTCACAGATTTTTTTACTGAGATACAGAATTATCAGTGACAGTCTGAGCACACAGCATTTGAATAGATTAACATGGCACAAATTCTCAAAAATAAAGGGTTTAAAAACAACAAAAACACCTGACAGGATTCCTAACGTGTGCCATGCAGTTGATTACATAGACGTGAACAGTTGCTCTTTGTAGCAAAGTGAAAGCCTAATCCACTGAAATAGATGGAAAAGTTCCCATGCAGTAATACTCCTTATGAGTTTGGAAATCCTGTACAACATGTTTCTCAGAGACCACGTGCCAGCTTACAAGGTTTCCTTGTGCTCCAGGCCTCTTCTTGGTGTCTATTGGCTTTCAGTTACCTGGAAACCAAAATTGCCAATTTTCTGCTCATGCATTTCCCATCACCTTTACCTGCCCTCCCTCCCACACCCAAATAAACTTCTGTCATTAAAATAACAATGTGGCCTCTCCATCACAGGCTTGTAGCAAAAGAGAAACGGTAGGAATAGCTGGATTTGGTGCTTCCTATCAAACTGGCAGATCCTTTATTTCAGCTGCCAACAGTTACTGTTAAATTGTATTTAGAAGCAAGTATAACATTTTAAAGGTAAATGAGTTCTGTAGTGGATTCTAAATGTAAGCAACTGTAGTCATGTCAAACACAGGTGTTGGCTGGTTTTGGTCGGGTGTTTGTTTTCCTTTTTTTTTTTTTTTTTCCTTTTCTGCATTATAGTTCATTCCAGATATTGCTTCCCTTCTTCTGCACAGCTGTCTTTCCATACCTATACAATTATTGAGGGGATTTTTCTCTCCACCATATTACTGACACAGCACTTCAATACATGCAATGAAAAATTAGCAAATATACATTAAAGTGTAACTGGCATTTGGCCTGACTGATGTGTGTGAGGCAGTTCCTGCTCTTGGTGCCTTAGACATTCTCCTCTGCTAGGGCTGATAAAGAGGGGAGTTTCATCTAGAATGCATTGGAAAGTTTAAGGATTCATTTTGCTCCTGGGCCCCATTACATGTTTGTGTCACAGGAGGCAAAGTCATGCAGATGGGAAAGCTGTTCTGTAAGATCCATTGGAATGTTCAGACTCCGAACATACCTGAAACTGATGCTTGGATTCTTCATGAGAGTTTTTGCTCAGCGCAGATTTGCTCTGTGAATGCTTCACTGGTCGTGGAGCAGCTGAAGTAATAGAATCTCATTTTCTGTTTTGATGCATGGCAATTTATGGCAATGTGAGAAACACCCAGTTATACCCTATGGTGCACTTTAATTGAAAAACTGTAGGGGATGCTGTGAGATACATTAAATGTCTTGGAGAATCTGCAGTTAGTTCTGAATATGAATTTGTGGTCACTTTTCTAAGGAAAATAGTGCCCAATAACACTCCTGGAGCTCAAATCCCTGCAGCTTCTCAGCCTTTTCCAGCTCCTTGCTTATCTCAGTTCACTCAAACCCATTTCCTAGAGTTTTGGCTTTTCATAGCTTCATCTCCCCTCCCGGACTGCAGAATTAGTAATAGCTCTTTACCTCTGCTTAAAAGCACGCTTTCTCTTCTTTGGCTTCTCTTCCTTTAACTGTTCTGCCAAAGCTGAAGGTGAAATAGGCTGCTGTGGTTCCCGACTCATAGTAAACCATTGTTAAAAGGAGTTGGTCAATCACTGTAATGGAGTTTACCTGGGAAAGAGAATATGCCTCACTTATTGAAGCAGGACTGCCTGATGTGTTTGAGCTCATGGAAGGAAATAAAGCACCTTAGTGCTTTAGGTATACAGTGAGAATACAGAGATTACAAGTTGGAAAACCAGAATTGCAAACGACCATCAGGATGGATTGCAGTCCCTGAAATTTCAGGTAACTGTGTTGTAACATTTGATCTGCAAGATCTCTCAGTTTATCCTCTGGCTGTCACAAAACATAAGCAATACCACGTGCCCTGTAACAACCCGAACAACTTTTCTGTAAAGCTTTGGAGCTATAATATGGCACAGTGATTAAGGTGAAGAGCCTTTCAGGAGGGCTGACTATTAAGGGAACGAAGCAGTCATAAAAACGCCCTTTCTCAGTCATGCGTTTCCTGAAGAAGGTCTGCAGCTGTAGTGCACGTCTTTCTAGTATTGTAAGGCTGAATGAAGAAAAGCTTGGAATAAAAATAAATACAAATGACTTTTTTCTTATTTCTGAAGCGTTTTTCTTTGTTCAGTCAAGGTCCATTTTGCAGTTTTAGGTCACGTTCTTTCTGTGATGCAATTCAATGCATTTAATCAGTGGGAAATGCTGTTGATGTCAGAGCAATAAATAGACATATTCTTATTGTAAATGTCATCTCTCTTCTGAAATCCCTTCCTCAATCCCTTTCTGTTCTCTAAGACGTCCTGTGAGGAGCAGGAAGGGCTGCAGCACCGAGAGGTTGTGTACAATGCGACTGTCTCAGTGACAGGCTGATGGGATCGTGAGTCAGTGCTGGGGAAAAGTCAGCTAAATAGGTTGCGGCTCAAAATAGTTGCCTGTGGCAGAAAGCAAGCATGCCAAATTAACTGAAAATAAAGAAGATACAAACGCCACAAAGCCTGTTAGGTTTCTGTCCAAATGTGTGAATTGTTGCGCTCAAACCCGGCAGGATTGTGCTGGTTCTGAGTGTCACTCAGGGTCTGCCCTGAGTGTTTTTGCAGATGATGGAAAGAAGGAGTGATTTAAAATATGCTTGGTAGGCTCAGTGGTTGGGTGTTATTTTAGATCACAGCTTTTCTCAGTGCTGCACCATTCCTTCAGCTTTCTTTTAGTTTTCCTCGAGTCCAAAAATCCATTTTGCTCTTCTGTACTGGTTGGCTCTTAGGTCAAGGAGTGGAAGGAAATTGCTTTTGGTAAGTAAAAATAGAAGGCTGTTCTAGGAGGCGTGCAGTGGACTGACATTACTTTGGGATGTAAGGAGTATCTGTGAAGCAGCTCTGCACTATGTGAAGTGCTCACCCTATGTGAAGTGCCTGCAGAACTCATACACGCCCTCAAACCCAGTTACACTCTGTTCTGACTGCAAAATAGCTTTATTTGGATAACCACTGCAGCTAAAAAGGATTTGGGTCGCAGGAGAGGTAAGGTACTGTTAGGAAAGGGCTGAGAGAGCAGGCAGTGAAAGCGGGGGGATGGACAGTGTTATTTTTATCAAAAAGCTTTCAGAGTCGTCAGTTGATCTGTGCTGGTAGTTTTTTAGCAAGACTTTCTTCTCCGTTCCTCTGCTGCTCTTTCTCAGAAGGTGGAATTGGGAAGTGCTTTGTCTGCTGGTGCAGTTCCACAGCCCATGGGCTCCTGATGACAGAACTGCCCCTGTGGAAGTGCTCGTGTATCCTCAGCTCAGTGCCAGGGAAATGGGGCATCTGGAAGAAAGTGAGGGAGTAGAATGGTAGAGAGGAGCAGAGAAAAGGAGAACTTGAAGTAGGTCATTGTGCATAGGAAGAAGACAAGAAAAACAGCATTGTAAGCAGCGAGGGGAGGTTGGTGCATTACTCATCAATACTGCTCAGCACTGCAGCCAAATGGAAATAATTTGCTTAGGCAGTGGCAAAGGCCCTCTGCACATACAGCTCTGCCTGCAGCACTCGTGTATCTGCAGCCCCTGCTTTGCCCCGTTCCTGCTGCGTGCCTTTGCTGCAGTGATAGACATCTGTGTTCTGACAGAGCAATTGTTCGTCTGAATTATTTATGGCATGTGTGGTATTCTTTGTTTCGCTGAGGCATTTAAAGCAGACTGTTTTCTCTGTTTAATCCTTCAGAGGAAAGCGTGTAAAATGGAGAATAAAAGATAATGGTAGTAAATGTCATTTGGGCACATTAAGAAATCAGCATGAGGAGGGAGAAAAGGAAATTTGTTTCTCATGAGTGTGCTTTATTTGAGAATACAAGTTCAAGGCTTGTTGCTACTGCTTAAAACCTCAGAGCCAGTGTTGGAAATGGCTTTTGTCTGAAACCACTAGGATTTAATCAGCGAGGCCTTGCTTTAAGAAATGGTTTAAGGATGTTATGGGACCACAATGAATGGATTTGGTTTTGATCTCGATGACAGTGAATATATCAGTGTTTTCACAAACTGCTGTTTTCTGTTTGCCATCCTCAGGTGCAGAAGTCCTTAATTTATTGTAACAGCAGAAATACCTTCCTCTTGCTTGAAGGAGCAGCTCTTACACCAACCTCTGTTCTCTTTAGCTGGGAGATGAAAGCTCCTAGCCTCCAGTTGGGTGGTAAGGATCCTTTTTCATCCAGAAACACAGCAAGACTCAGTAATTAATCTCCTACAGGGCCACAAACTGGTCACTAGGTAATCTTAGTCCCTGATCTCAGTTTCTTTGGCAACTTGTGACAGGCAGGCTTAGGCTGCGTGCTCTGTTCTTTGTTCTCTGACAAGCTTTGTTTTGAAAACTGATTGTGCATGAAGAGGTCTTCCCCATGCCTTGACAAGCAGAGGGGAGGGCTGTCAGCCAGGCGTAGTACTGACCACCTACACTTTAATTTTATTAATTGATTCTTTTGAGCAAAACCTGTAGGAGTAAAAAGATTTCAGAAACCATAGTTTTACAAACATGACCACTGAGAGACTATTGAAAAGGAGGCCTGGGAGAGAAGAAGTGACACTGTGTGCTGGGTACCCACAGCTCACTCACTGTCATGGAGCTCCATCTGAGGTGCTCAGAAGGGTTTGGATTTGACAAATAGTGACTTATCTTCTCCCCTCTTGTAATTACAAGTTCAGCATTTTAGCACATGTTAAGGTTTTTACAGCCTTTAGGAACCTAAAGCATGATTGTTTCTAAAGCTAAGAGATTTTGAAGGCCAGAAACATCTTCACATACAGGGTGAAGAGGTTCCTCAGTGCTAAGCTGGGACTTAGTGCATGAAAGGGAAGGAGGGCTGTGAACAGGGCTGGATCAGGTGTGCAGGAATGTGGTGCAGGATGATACAGCACAAGTTGTTTGTTCTGTCTCATGCAGCTATGGCAGTGCATCAGTGATAGCAGGCTGCCACAGAATTGGTCAGCAGCAAACTGTAAGGTATCCAACAGCAGGTGTTTGCTGCAAATAAACCCTGTATCTCAGGGTGCCTCAGCTTCCAGCCTTACCCCTTGGGTGCTGCTGCCCACTCCTTGCGGAGAGCAGAGCATAAAGTTCTGAAGTAAGAAAACGGATTTCTGCTATCATTTTCATGTTTCTCTGTAGAGAAATTGCCTCAGGCAGGGACCACTGGGCCAGTCTTATGGGGGTATAGAATGGTTCTCCAATTTTAAATGAAACTAATGGAAAGGAGAAGAATTGATGAGGCTTAGATCAGCTAGAGAGAAAGCAACCTTTTATTATGACAGCCTGTAATCACCACAGGGCTACTTCATAGTAAGTCACTAATCTGGATCGACTGGGGTGATGACATTCATCTCCTGGTTCATTTCAGCATGGTCCTTAACATCGGTCCAGCCTCTGCTGTCACTGTAATTGCCTTTTATCGCTCTTGGAGATTGCTTTTCCCTGGAGGAAACTTGTGGTATTTTTTCATTACCAAGGTAGGGAAACAAGGCTCAGCAAGAGAGAGTTGCACTGCCTTCACTGATTTTTCTTTTATTTCGTCCAAAACAAAGGCTCGTTTGTGAGCAGTACTGATCAGCCTGTACAAAACTCATCACCACAGCATCTGTGGCTTTCCAGCAAAGCGTGAAGCAATGTAACAGACAGCTGTCACATCTTGGTCTGAGCTGACCTGTGCATTGCTCTAGATATTGGCTTTGCCTGGCATTCTTATAACAGCTGAGTTATAACAGAGTGCTCTGCAACAAAACAAGCACCTATTTTGTCCAGTGTTTTCATTTGCTCTGTGGGAGTATCTGTTCTTGTTCCTTCTGAGTTTTGTAGCTTTTTAGCCCAATTACAATTCCTTTCTATATTTGGTGTGTATGTTTAATTGGCTCTTGGAGATCACCAGGGAATGTGTCTGCAGAGCAGCTTACAAAGGGAAAGGAGTGAAATCCATCGTAAGGGTTTTGTTTTGGTGTATGCAGTGTATTTTGGGGAATGTAGTGTCATGGACATCATTATGTTCTTACACCTTTCAGATTAACAAAAGAGATGGCCTCATGGAACCCCCTGTTTCCCTCTTCAAAAAGAAGCAAAAAAACTATTTTTTCCCTGAAGTCACTGATGCCATGGAGCAAATTGGTAGCAATATTTGAGGAAACATGTCTGATGTTTCATTCAATAGCCTGAGCTATAGGTGCCTGCACAGGTGGTGGATTTGGGTTCTCACACACCAATAGTGTCACTGAGGTAACGTGTAACACAGTGCTTTTGTAGCTGCACAAATTGTGTTCTAGAATTATGTCAGACCAGCCCATACAATCATGACAAACAGTTCAAATTTGTGCATTTTGCTTTTGGCTGATCCCTCCCCGCATGCTCAGCTCCCATAACTCCCGCTCAGTATTCACAATTCCATCACTGCCAGCTCATATCAAGAACCAAAGCTCCTAGGAAATGCTGCAGCTTTCCGAGGCAGAAAGATCGCTTTTGAGTTGGAGGCATTGCCACACGTATTGCTTCAGCCACACTTGGCATACGTCCCCGAGCCTACAAACGCAGCGTTACTCGAGGGATCACCAGAACGCTCTGAAAACCAGCCAGAGGAGTGCTTACTGAAATGAGTGCCTTGTCAGAGGAATAAGCTTTGTTTCCATGCAAATTTTATACCAGTACAACACAAAAGGAAAAGCACAAACCACCTGCACATCCTGCTGCACGTGGGCATGCTCTGAAATTAGACTGGAAGTTTGTTGAACGCATTTAGCAATGTGAAGCAGTTACTCCTCCCATATCGTTTATTGAAGATCTCAGTTTTCAAAGCATGAGTAGCAGTGAGGCCCATTATTCTTTCCAACATGCAAAAGGCACAAAAAAGTCATAAATGTGATTCTGTGCAAAGTGTCTCTAAGAAAACACACAGCGAGGAAATGACAGAAAGGAGCCCCCAGCAGAAGGGAAAGCCAAAGCGTCTTCAGAAAAGTGCTGACAGTTCTGGAAATGGTGGTCCTTTGTCAGAGTCCAGATACGCTCAGGCGGTGAAAGATGCTTTGCGAATCCATGAAAGGAAACTCAAGATGGAGGCAAAAGGATAAAACAAGGATCCCCTTCATGTGCCAAAGCTCAGGGTGGAAGTTGAAATCATTTATGTCAGGAGAAAAACGTGGCAGTTAAAGACAGGCATCAAATTCTTTTTTAAAAAAAGCCCACCAAAACCAGACGTAGAAAGTGGATGTATGCTAAGAGCAGCTCCATAAAAATATTCTTTTTGATGAAAATAATTAAAAAAAAAAAAAAGGATAATTGAAGAATGCAAATCCATCTTCACCATAACCACTACTGCACCCTGCCCCAGAAAAGCCTTCGAGCACAACACTGGCTTCTAGAAGAAGAAAGTCCCCACTAGCATGTGTGAAATGTGGCCGGTAAACACTCTGGAAACACAAACAGGGCTGAGTATCCAAGTCCCACTGCTAACCTGGGTGTTGGGAGCTCCTCAGGGTGCCCATCTCCCCCTGGAATTGCACTGGCAGTGCTTCCCAGTGGGCACGGGGAGCCAGGCCAGCCCCCAAGCCTCCCACTGGAGTGGAATACTTAAACCTAAAAAGGCATTTACAAGTTGATGCATTTTTGTTGTTGTTATTTCCTTGCAGTATACTTTTCTACTTCTAGACTATGGAATGTTACATTAAACAATATTATTATTCATACCTTGCCTCAAATTTCATTACAGTTACTGAGGCTTCGTCATAATTTCACACAGCACAGGGACACCAATCTAAACACCAAGCTGCCAGCATTAGATGTATTTTTTCTTTAAGTACCAATAAGCAAAATATCCCATTCCCCCCAGAGATCCCATCAGGAAGGAGGCTCCGAAGAAGGAGGGAGGTTTCCGCTTGACCAGCCTGAAGGCATTGGGTACCACTGCGGAGAGCAGCGTGGTGTGTATGTCTCCCAAGACTTTCCTGAAGGCAAAGCGTTTTTGTATCCTGTCGAAGAAGGACTGTAGGTTGGGTCTGCTGCCATCCTCCCAGTATTTCTTAGAGAGTCCAAGAAACTTGAGGCGATGCAGGGTAGCTCCTAACAAGATATCGGCCAAGGTAAAGACGCATCCGCAGAGCCAAAGTTCGCACTTCTGCCCTGGAGAAACAAGTGACAGAAGAGGAAGGATGAGAATAGATCCTTGGGTGGCTGCTTAAAGGCTTGCTCAAAAGCTCCACAAGGGCAGGAGGTTTTGGATTAGACTCCAAATCCTTTTCTGAGCACTGTGATGTCCCAGAAGACCAGTCCTTATCTGTCAGGAGGCCACGTGGTGCCACAAAGCTGGGAACACGCAACGGGCATTTATAACCCGCATGGAGACACAAATCAATGTCTTCAAAATAGCTGTGTTGTGGCTCAGTGACCACTATTGCTGCATTAATGCTCAGAGAGAGCAACAGCATTTGTCCTTGGCTGCCGCTGGGCGATGTGAGCTGTTTGAGAGGTGGCATGGTAACATGTCCTATTTTAGGGATGTGAGAAATCCTTGGGAATCAAAACCATTTGCTGGCCCAGCCTGGCTGCTCTCCCTGCATGCTGCTGGGGAGGTTCTGACTCTATCCCCTCTCTAACACTGGGACACCAAATTGCTTCTGCGCCAAGAGCCAGGTTTTGGGTACAGGCAGAGCTCGGTGTGAGTGCTGGGCACGAGAGAAGGTATCACAGCATTAATAGTCCCTGGTGGTTGTGACCCTGGAAATAACCTCACCCAGGATATGTTCATGAAAAAGCATGCTGGGAGAAGCTGACTCAGGTCAAAGTAGTGTTAAATGCTCTCCCAATGCTCTTTTGATGCTAACAAACAGGAAATAAAGGGAGGTACAGGAAAGGAAAAAACTACAGAAGGGTCACAAAACCTGGATATCCACTGCATAGAGCTGTGCCCTGGATATCCCTGCTTGTCATGCTTTGCAAGCAAGCAATGGAGCTGGGATGTGGCTCAGCACCTGCCCAGCAAATCTCAGAAGCAGAAGTTAAGCATGGTAGGCGGTAAGAAATCCAGTTCCTGCTCTCTCCAGGCTGCAGAGAAACATTATCCTCCCTTGCTGGATCTAAATGAAAAGGAGACCCCAAAATGCTGAGATGTGCTGGGAAGGGAAGGTGGGATCTGCTGCTGGCCATAGGGATAGGGATCTGTGCTCCGCACCCACCTTAAAACCTGGGATGCTTTGCACCAAATCCTTGATTTTGGAGCCCTTCCACTGCCCTGTGCAGTTAGTATTGCTGTGTGAGGCTCTGCTTAACAGATGGGGTGGAAGGCCGGTGCTGGTGGCTGTTAAACCAGGGGGCAGTGAGAGGCAGCCCTGTGCTCAGGCACAACTGAAGCTGAGCTGCCTGCGGGGCCAGGCCAAGAGTTATTGGTAATTAGCAGGCCTCGTTTGTACCAGCCTGGCAGCCCGCCTAATCCTGCCAGAGGCACAGCCCGAGTGGACAGATTGCCTGGGCCTAATTAGTCAATAAATATTTTCAGTGGCTAATAAATTGTGGGGGTGCTGCAGCTGGAGCCTGCTGGGGGCTGTGTGGCCCTGGGGCTGGCAGGTGCAGGACCTGGAAGTGGGGGGCACCGCACCTGGCTGGAGCAGCTCTGCAGAGAGCACCTAATGAGGCTGAATCCTGCTGAACCCCCCCAGCTCGGGTCAGTTAGTGGGGGTGTCTGCTGGATGCAATTAGGCCGCTGCGTGGTGCCGCACTGAGACCTCAGGGCACGCTGCAGCCCTGTGCTGTGCTCGTGGGCCCCATGACGCACGGCTCCCCACATAGGGCCGGCTGTGGGGCTGCCCCTCATTAACACCTCTGGGCTGTGCTCCATCCCTGGCATCGCCAGCGCTGTCCCGGGGTTAGGAGCCCTGCTCCAGAGCGATGCTGAGGTGATGGTGGGACAAGCGATGCGCGGCCGTGGCTGCGCTGCCAGGGCTGTGGGGCGGCTCTCGGCGGGTGCTCGGCGGTGTTTGTTTGAGGTCAGGGCAGGCCGCAGCCGCTCCAGCCCTCCTGCTGCTGACTGACGCACGAGCTGCCGCCTCACTGTGCTCCCTCAGTGCCACCAGGCTCCCCACTGTGTGCCGTGGCCCGGTGCTGAGAGCTGGGTGCCCGCGGAGGTGGGCAGGCAGAGAGGACTTGCAGGTGACACACATCTGTGGTGGCGTGATGCCGAATCCTCCTCCCCCCATAAGGCAATGGGCACAGAACTGGACCACAGGGTTAGCGGCCGGTTGGTGGGTCATTGGGGAACGTGGGACTTGTCACCATGCTGCAGTGACTGCAGAGCCCCTGCAAAGCAGCCAGGGGTCCTGCGAGGTGGGGGTGCTACCTGGATATCAGCAAGGCAATGACAGCTGCGTGCCCTAAATGGGAGAGTCCCACATGGTCTGTAGCAGTCACTCTACTGTCTGCTAGAGCACAGTGTGGGCTTTCACAGTGTGCAGAGCCACTGGCCATCCCCAAAGCAGCACTTTGTCTGAACGCCACCCAGCACCTACCTTGGTACTCCAGCTTCCTCTTCTCCAGCTCAGCCTCAATCTGGTCCAGTACCATTCCCAGCTCCCCTAGGATTTTCTTCAAGTAATTCACGTTGTCATGCTCCAGGATCTTGGCCTGGTGGAGAGCGGTGGTGACACGGATGGATGGACAGATGGCTACGCATCCCCACAGTCATGCCCCACCACCAAAGAGCCTCGTGCGGCTTTGGCCGACTCACCATGAGCTTCTTCTGCTTGGAGAGGTATGGCTCTGTCAGTGGTGGCTCCTCCTCGTGGTCCAGCTTCATCAGTTCCGTGCTGGCATTAGCCAAATGCCCTGGGGAGAGACAGATAGAGGGGCTGCAGGGTCTGTCCTCCCACCCAGAGCTGCTGGCTGTGTGTGAGGGCAGGGACGAGCTGAGGGCAGGCAGGAGCTGAGCCTGCTGGAGTGTTCCCTGGTGAGCTGCAGCCTTGCCAACTTTTACAGCAGGAAAATGGTTCGTTCGGTGGGCTCAGCAGGCTGGAAGTGCAGCTTTGGAGTTCTCCCATCCCACAGGTTAGCTGTGCTCCCTTCAGAGAGCTTAATTAAGAGGGATTTGCAGGCACAATCCTGCTGTTTTGTTTGAAAATGAGACTTTTTGATGCATTAAATAGCTTTGAAGTGCTGTTAAAAAGGAAAAAAGAATAGACTGTGTTGCTCAGCTTCCTCTGGAGCTGCTTTTCCCATCTCTGTTGGGAGAAGCACAGATCAGCCCCACTGGGTGGGCTCTGTGATGCAACACCAGGAAGAAAATGGGTGTCTGCCCCAAAGCGCTGATGGGAGAGATGACAACAAAACCAAGGATGGGGTCAGATTTACGCAGTGTAGTTGGTGTTTGGTTCAGCCTCGATGTCTGCCAGGCCTTTCCCAACAGCAAGGCTCGGGGCCAGACAGAGTAAAATTCAGATTTTAGTTCCCCTGGCGCAACCTGGGCTGCTGAGGTTTAGAGTGTGCAGCAGAGATCGGATTTTGGTTTATTGCAACAGCTGCTAATTGCTAAAAACCACCAAACGTGTTCACACAAGTCCAGAACAACAGACTGCCTGCTGCAAGAGCTCCTTGCACAGGGCAGCCTCTTCCTGTCTGTGCAGTGCACAGATGGAGGGATTTGGTAAGAAAAGATATGAGGGAGAGGAAAAGGTAATCATCCAATCTCCATGGATGGGAGTCTTCCAGGACTTCTCTGTGCCCATTGTAGCCTTGAGGGTTTGCCTCTGCCTGCCTACACCAAGCTGCTCTTTCCCTGTCCTGCACCTCTTACTCTCATTTTTTTCCTGGAAATTATTACAACATCAGCAAGACGCAGAGCTGGTCTGCAAATCAGGGCCTGCCTTCTCCTGTCTGTGTGGCACAGCCAGAAGGAGCCACATCCATGTGCAGGGTGCAGCCCCACTGGCAGCCCACTGGTGAGCCCCATGGAAGGGGTCTGGGAGAGAACCCACATCACAGGAGCCTGAAGGCCAAGAATGCAGGGCCATGGGCATCCCTGTGCCTGAGTCAGGGTCCTGGCCTGCCCTGTGTCATATTAACCCCACAAATCCCAGGTTCAGGCTCTGGCTGCATGCAGAGGTTCTGGGGAGCCAAATGTTGTTTGTAGCCTTGGAGGTCAGAGCCGTGCTGTCACCTTGTGCATCCCCACTCCGATGAAGGAGGTCCCTGGGCTCAGCTGTGCTCATCCACCTGCCCAGGTACAGCTCTTGGGGCTGCAGAGCAGGAGCAGGGCTGGCCAGGAGGGTGGCTGTGCCTGGGCCAGGAGCGGAGCAGCAGCCGTGCTGCCAGGTTTGGGTTTGTATTGGGTGTGTTTGCTGTCTTTGCAAATCATATCTGTGCTGCCAGCATTACCAGCAGGGAAATTCAGCATTTCATTGCTTTGGCTCCATCAGGGCATCAGAAGGTAGGAAAAGGCCTTGTGCAAGGGAGCTAATGGAAGGAAGGGAGCAGGGTAAATGGCAGAAGAGGATACAAAATGCAGAGTAACAGTTTAGGGCTGGGATAAATTGCCCAAAGCTGGGCTAACCTCCTCCTGCCAGGCACCACCTGTCTCCATCCTTGTTCCTTCCAATGAGAGCTTGGCTCTGCCAGTGTGGGTATGGGAGATGCCAAGGTGCAGCCAGCAGTGGGCTCTACACTGCCACAAAATAGTGAAATTCCGTTTTCCACCAGGAGCCTGCAGTGGCTGTTGGGGTTCTCTGTTCCCACAGAGGTACTCTGAGCCTCTCAGCCACCTGTCCTTGGCTGGTAATTCACAGGGGAGCTGGTGTTTATTATGGGAGCTGCCTGCAGATGGAGCCTACCAGATGAGAGGTGCAGGGCAGGCGTCCTGCTGGCTCCCTGCCCCAGAGGTGACTTACTGCGGATCTCAGCGGTCGCGTACTTTGGGATCATGGAGTCGGTGGTGAGCTCGGGGTGCAGGATGCAGCCATGTGTGTAGGCATCCATGGGCAGCGAGTCCAGCAGCTCCCGGTACTGCAACACCCGTGAGTGCAGCAGGGTCCCGGGCTCAGGGATCAGCTGGGGGACGTTCTCTGGAAGGAGCAAATGGAAAATGTGTTAGAGGTGCTGGAACTTCTGGGGACAGGTGCTCATGGTCGCACAGTGGAGAACATTCCATATGGGTAACAAAGGAGTGGATGACAAAACAAGGAGCTGAACATATCTTCCCTCAGTGCCAGGACCACCTTCTCCCCGGGGCTCTGTACCTCCTCGGTTTGTTGGGTTTTATTCACCTTGGTGGGGTGGCAGTTTGTACTGTGCTCTTTTTTATTACATTTACAGCTCGAAATACACAGTGGATGGCATGAGGAGGGAAACATTGCTCGTCTCCCCCAAGAACATCAGGAGCATTTCTTTATGGGATCATAAATGTTTATGACTTTTGTGGATAGTTAACAGGGAGTGAGTGAATTTACTGCTGGGATTCCGAGCTGGGCTGTCTGCAGCACAGGGCTCTCCACGAGCCAACAGCTGGGGCTAGCAAAGGGCACAACAGCAACTGGACTTTTGTAGATGTGGCCAATGCTGCTGCTGAATTAAGGAACTGAAACGATGGCTCTGACACCACTGCAAGACTGGCCCAGCAGAGTCATCCTTTGCTGTTGGCTGACCTCAGTGTCACCAGCGGAAAAAGTCAGTGCTTCCAGTCCTGGAAGCAAAGCTGTGTGAGCATACTTCCTTACACAGTCATTTCCAAGCTCTGCCCATTGCTGCAAGGTGAGTGCTACCTCCTTGCACCAATGCAGGGACACCTGAGGATGCCCTTCCCACCTAATGTGGGTGGATGAAGGCTCTAGAACAGAACAGGTGCAGAAGGGCATCCTCCCTCTTCCCAGGTCTTCCCACATGGCACTTCTCAGCAGAAAGGTGAGGCCGTGCACCTGGCTGCAAAACCTCAAGGGCAGGAGTTTTTCCAGAGCACTGGGGAGGGAGCACAGTGTTCTGCTGTGGCAACAAAACACAAGTGACAGCAGAAAGATTTTGTTGCCAGCTCTTGAAGAGAAATACTTCCAATGTTTTGGAGGGCAAGGGAAGAGGCAGGAGAAATCGAGCCGGTAGCTCTGCTGGCTTCCAGCCACAAGTGCAGGGCACACTGCTGATTGTTCCCCCCAAAACAGAGCGCAGTGTCTCCTGGTAGAGCCATAAATCCCCACTGTGCTCAGAGCTGTTCCCTGCCACCACGTCAGCCCACATCCCCTGCTGGGGACAGCGTGCTGCCAACATATGCCGGGTCAGCTGCTCTCCATAGGGACTGGGCAACAGCACGGAGCAGTGTGAGGGCTGCAGCCCCACGCAGCAGTGTGCCCCAAGGATGCGGGGCTGCTGCTCTGAGGGCTCCTCCGCGGGGCTCAGGTGTCTGTCTGTCTGTCTGTCAACCCGGTATCAAGGAAGTGCCGTGCCTCTGCTGAGCACGATGGCGGCCGGGCTGGAGAGGACAGCAGCTGAGCTGGCATGGTGCCTGTGCTTGGGGATCTATTTTGAGATGTTTTCGATGCCTCCGCCGCAAGGCTGATGGATGGTGGGGCGAGCATCGTGATGCCACAGCCAAAGCTCTGTGCTGGGTTTGAAGTCTCCCTAGTGGAGCGTCCCAGCGTGGCAGCCTGCAGATTTGGGAAGATGTGGACTAAGGGGCTGGGGATGCTTCTTGCCAAAGCAGCTGCGTGAGGGGCAGCCTTGGAGCTCAGCATCCCAGCTGCAGCCCTGCTCCAGGGGGACACAGGAGTTCCCTCTCAGCCATCCCTTCCTCTGGATCTCTGTCACATTGTCCCCAGTGTGCAGACCCTGGTGAGATGCCACCACACATCATGGGCTCCCCAAGCCATGGAGATGGGAGGAATGGGTCAGTTTGGGACTCTAAGACAGAAGGGCAAACCCAGCTGCAGCTCTCCCAAACCCCCCTTGCAGCATTTCCAAGGGATGTCTGAGGATTTCTGCAGGAAATCCTTCATTTTGATAGGAAAGTGTGAAAATTGGACGTGAGCGAGCCAAAACTTTCTGGGAGGAAATGGGTGCATTTGGCCACCAACATTCAAATCTGCCCTACGTTTCTGCTGAGATGAAGCCTGGCATGCAGCTGTGCCCCCCGTTACCTCCTGTGAAGTTCCTCTCCATGTAGTCGATGATCTGGTTGTAGTCACTGATGATGTTGTCCCGGTGGATGATGACAGGCACCTCCTCGCCCAGGTTGAGCCGCATGAACCAGGGCTCCTTGTGCTCCAGCAATGGCATGCTGACATCGCGCTCCTCGCAGGGCAGCCCCTTCTCAGCGATGACCAAGCGCACCTGCAGAGGGGCAGAGGGGCACAGAGGCACAGCTCAGCCCCACAGCCCCACAACTGCCCTGAGCCCACTGCAAAATCCAGGCAGGCAGCCAAGTGAGGATCTCCATTCCTGGCAATAGAGGGAACGTCACAAAGGAGACCCGCAGCCATCCGAACTTTGCAGGGTCACCTCTGTCTGGCCCATGGCGCTGGGACAGCAGCTGGGGTGAGGGCTCTGGAAGGCTGAATCCCAGCCCTCAGCCCCCAGGTGTGGGTGATCAGTGATGGGGCTGGGAGTCCCAGCTGGGCTGAGCAGCAGCACAGACCCAAGGAAGAGGAAGAGGAGGCTGAAGTGATGCTGCCCCTTGCTTGCAGTGGGTGCTGTAGCTCAGCTGGAGGAAGCCCACACCATAACTCAGGTATGTCCGTCTCTTGGGGTTGGGCTCTGGCTTTCCTGGGCACCTCTGGAGCAGGTGAAAGGCTTTGCTATGGGGAGGATTTCAGGCACTTGCTGTGCTCCGGGGAGTGCTGGCAGCAAGCAGAGTTCTATGGGGGTATTTTGTTCCCCTTTTCCCTGCTGGAGCCCCACGTTGCCGCTTTGTCTCCATGCATTTCCCCATACAGCAGGCAGCCACCCGGGGACATCACACACCTCTCTGTAATCCCTTGGTGGCCCAGTGCCTGGTTTCCCCCTCCTCTCTGCTTAGAGGTCTTTCCCAGCCTTAATGATTCTATGAGGCTCTAGGCTGGCACCAGCCCGGTGTACAGGTGGGAATGCTGACTCCAGCCCCGGGCAGCCCAGCATCCTCCTCTGCTGCTCTTCTCTGTGCTCGATGTGAATGTGCACTCAGGAATCCCACTTCAGGCTTCCGGGTTATTAAGAAAACGTGACCATTGTGACCCAAGTGTGTCAAGCAGGCAACAAAAAACCTCGAGGGCTCATTGGAGAGCCGTGTCTTACAGAAGTGCTGAATGAAGGAAAATCGCCTGTTTTCCTCCAGCTGATGGCAGCTAAAAATGCACCTTAACAAATATGAGCATTTCTATGAGTACGTCCGAGTTCCGGGGGAATTAGGCATTACTTATTTAATAGCTGACAAAATATTTCTTTTCTTTTAAAGTGAAACAAGGAAAAGGCAGGTTCTATCTGTGGAGATTGTCCCTCGGAGGGCAGGAGGATGCTGGGAGCAGAGCCCAACAAGGGCTTCCGTATCTCCCCCCGACCCCCAATCCTTTTCACCACCAGTACCTTGGAGTGGGGTGGCAGGGGCTGAGGGTTCCCGGGGTGCCCCAGGGAGGGTCCTGGGGCTGTGAGCAGCACAGGAATGAAATCATCCCCGGGGCAGCCCCGGGAGCACGGGCGGATGGGATCGGCGCGGTGGCCCTGCTGCATCGGGCGCCTGCGGGTCCTTTGTGCGCAGAGCAGACGGGGACATCCCTGCTCGCTGTGGGGCTCCAGGGGCCTGGTGTTGGGATGGCTTTGTGCTCCCCAGGGCCCCCCAGCAGCTCACTGCTCACCTGACATTGATGGCACGGGAGTGGCAGAAGGCCTGGCAGACGGTGGGCTTTATGGCACTGCTGCCACGCTGCGAAATGAGCATTGGGGATCACCTGGAAAAAGTGATTTGGGGACTGCCTGGCTCTCCTGCTTTGCTCAGAGCTGGAGAACCTCTGGAGTGGGATTTCCAGGGCCCTCCTGCAGTGCTGGGCCAAATTGCTCCTGGCATGGGGCTGTGTCGCGGGGTCGCTCCCTGTGCTGGCTGTGCGGGGTCCCCACAGCTGCAGGGTGGTCCCCGGCTCAGCCTTTGTCTGCGCTTTGCCTGCGTTCGGCTGTGAGCGAGCACAAAGCAGAGGCGTCTCCCGCTGCAAACGCCGGGCTGAAAGCAAAAGCAGGGTTTGTCTGAGCCC